AACAGTTGATGGGTTCTTCCAAGCTGGGTTCGAGAACCCAGCGACTGGTGGGTTCACGAACCTATCAGATCGGGTTCTTCCCAGCTGGGTTCTTGGGTTCGCTGGTGCAGAAAGGGAAAAGAAAAGACAAAAAAAAAAAGAAAAAAAAAGAGAGGATTTCTTTAAGGTTAATTAATGAGTTCTGTATCCTCTCATTTACGTAAAAGAATGTGTTCCATCCCTATTAGCTTAATCTAGCCTTGAAGAGGTCATAAAGCTGGTGCAAAACCGTCTCCATATCCATCTTCAATCTCTTCGACTCCTACAAAAGATTGGTAGGAAATTGCAAGGAGGTAAGAATGAAGGATGAGAAATTTTCCAGATCTACTTGCGTTTTGAGAATGAAGAATGAAGCATGTTAAAATTAGGGATTTAATCCCTATTTCGTGAGAATTCTTGGTTAGAAAGACCAAAAAGCCCACCAATGGGTTCTAGTTGTTTGTGGAGTTAAAAATTCATGTCCACATGGCATTTATATGGCAAAAGTAATTGACACGTCAACATACTTTTTTTTTTTCCAGTTGTGTTACCGTTGGTGGGGTGTGATAACTTTAACAGTGTTGGTAGGAGATTTGACAGAAGTTAATTTTCTGTCCAATTGGGACCTTATTTGAGAATTTCGTGAAGTTCGAAACCTTAATTGAGCGCAATTGAAGTTTGGATCCAAAATTGCGAATTTTGTGTAAGTTTGGGTCCTTATGTCATATTTTTGCCTGGAATCAAAGTCTTCCCTCTTCCGTTCACGCTTTCGAAGTCCCCAAGACCTTCCTCAGTTACATCCCATGGATTCGGAGATCAATTAGGGCACAGAATCAGCTTCACTTCAGTTTTCCTCTTTTATGTAATTTCATGGATTTCCTGGAGAAGAGGTTTCGGGTTTTGGTCGTCATAGTCGGCATCGTCTTCCTCAGTATCACAGGTACTCTATCCACTGATTTTTCGATCCCGTCTCTATTTTGCAGAATCATCGACATAAGCAGAGAATTAGGGGGAAATGTTAGTTATTTCAGTGATTAACTCAATTATTTGTTTAATTTGGTTGTAGTTCACTATGTTTAAATTTTGATCTGAATTTTAGTAGTTCTATTTGTGTTTGGAAGCTCTTGTGTTTACTTGTCAACAACTTAAATGCATTCAACTTCATGATTTGTACACTTGAATTTGATCATTTATAGCAACAATTTAAATGCATTTGGCTTCATAATTTGTGCCCTTGAATTTGATCTTTTATGTATTTTTCGCAGTGGGTGTTAGTGTGATTTTGTGCTATATGTTGTAGGAAGATATATTCTGATTTTTTTTAAAAAAAAATTATTTTATTTTTTTACTATTTGTAGCTGAAAAATGTCGACAATTGGTGGGGGAGGAGCTTTCATCTAAAAGTGGGAAGTTTACAATCTTGAACTGCTTTGATATGGGATCTGGAAGTATGGCGTGTTTGGTTAAAGAAGGTGTGAAGCTTTATTTTTACAACATTAGAGCTGCTCATGTTGAGAGAGCTAGGCATCTAGCAATTGAGAGGGCATTGGAGGATGCTTATTCACAGGGGATGCCTCCAAAAGATGCAGCAAAACAGGCTCAGACAGAAGGGGCAAAGGCAGCAAAGTTGGCCACCCGGCAAGCTAAGCGCATTATAGGTCCTATTATTTCTTCTGGGTGGGATTTTTTTGAAGCTATATACTATGGTGGGACTATGACAGAAGGGTTCCTCAGGGGTACTGGAACGCTATTTGGTACTTATGCTGTGGGTTTCCTTGGAGAGCAAAGGTTTGGGAAAGTTGGTTATCTTGTTGGAAGTCATTTGGGCAGTTGGGTTGGAGGAAGGGTTGGGCTGATGGTATATGATGTGGTTAATGGAGTGCACTTCTTGCTTCAATTTGTTCAACCAGGAGAAGGTGAAAGTGAGGAGACTCGATTTTATGAAAAATCGGAAGCATCCAAAGATTCATATGCTTATGAAGCTCCTGCAGACACCAGCTCTGAAGCTTATGACACTTCAAATGAATTCCCATCCTCTGAGAACTCTGAAGCGCAAGAAAGTTCTGATTTCTGGTGAATATGGCGAGCTCATCTTGTAATCTCAGTGTTTTCTTCTTTTTCCCCTTTGCCAGTTATAGATGCAATATAAGTTGATTTCTAGCAATGAACAAATTACTTTATATATGTACTTAAGCGACTGGGGATCCTTCCCTCAAAAGGGGTAAAGTAAGGTCAAGATGTTTGGAGTTTGGTTTGTTGTATGTACCTACATGTATATTAAAATTTTTTTCACAATCTAGGATTCAGTTGTGACATGTGCATGCTTCTACATTTCGGCTGAAGGAAGTTATATTCGGGAGTAATTCTTAGATCAGTCTAACCCTGCCCTTTGGTGGCCACAGAGAAAAACATACTTATTAGAGATCAATGCTTTATTACCCATAATTTTAGTGGAAAGTACAATTTAAAGTCATGGGTGGTTCATTGAAGGTCCGTTCTCTATGGTTATTATATGAAAGTAAAATAACTTAAACGATGAGAATGCCCAAAAAAAAAGGTTATTAGTGTTACCTCTTTTCTTTCAACGAGTAGCTTATACCCACAGAGAAGGAATAGCTATGACAACCTTATTCTCACCTTTGAAGATGTAGGTAATAACATTTAGTAATTTTCATCATATCATCACCTTATATATTGTATCATTTTCGTGTATTAACATTCAGTTGCAGTTAGCCAATTTTAAGCGGCATCTTAGGGGCAACTCCACGTCCAAGAAACAGTTATGGACTTCCTGCTCCTCTCTAATCTTGTTTGCGGCGTCTGTTATCTTGATATGACAATACATACTCTTCAAATCATGGTTAGATTTACTTTGACATTAAGAGGATAGGCTTTGTTTCATCCATACACTTGTCTATGGTGGTAGTTTGTATGGACTATGGAGTACAGTTAGAGCCATACTTAGCTTCTTATAAGTGCCCATTACCTTAAACCCTCTACACTCTGAAGGGTTTAATGCAAAACTTAGTCGGAGATTGATTGCTCTAGGATGGGGAAGGAAAATAGAGCATGCAAATTATTTAGAGATTTTGCGTAGTATTTGGATGGGCCAGAGTATAGAAGAGGTCTAATCAAGAAAAAGGTCCAATTGCTGCTTGGTATCTGGAGTGCAATGCATTGGCACATGGTCTCCTCTAATAAAGAAAATAGTCTAATTGTTGGTTTCTGGAGTGCCATGCTTGGGCACACGCTCTCCTGTGGTTGCCACACACACTACCATGTCTATTTCCTACAGTTTCTTTGACTTTATTTACGGCTACCGATGAACCCCCTCCTATTGGTCCTCTGTTGCTCTGAATTGGTCTTAGTACCATTGAAGCCTTATTATTTATCAGATCTCAACTCAATGGAAGGCAGAAAAACTTTGTTTGGGTTTCACTTTTAGATTCTTTTCCCATTTTGAGTTCATCCCCGAAGACAAACACAAAAAACTCAAGTATATAATCAAATTATGTTCATCAAAAGGATGAGAAGATAAGTCCATAGTTTTGAACCATCCACTGCCAATGCCATGGACATGGTGACGAAAAATAAGGATACTTTTTCAAGAAGTAGAAATTAGTTTCAAAATGCATGTAAACTAATTTAAAGGGATCTTAATTATTGGTTAAAAAAAAAAAAGACAAATCCATTATTTGAAAAAAAAAAAAAAAGAAAAAAAGGGGGGCAAAAAGAAGCTGAAATCAACTTGTGTATTATTTGGCAACAAATTATGGGATAAGACAAATGAACAGTAATTAATATATATTTCGATTTAAC